GTGTGTGCTATTTCCTTTCCTGGGAGAGCAGAGATTATTGGCAGGGGAGTCGTTGGCAGAATTTTCCACCAGCTGGCGCCTATTCCAGGTTATCGTTTACCCAGGATGCTGCTTCTCCTTCTCCACCTCCTTCTTTCTGAGGCTTCTTCTAAAGCTTGGGTGTTTTATTTATTATTTATTTATTTATTTTGAGTAACTGGATTTCTCTAGACAGTAGCTTTCAGCTCCTCTTTGCTATGGCTGTCATTTCTCAGGGAGTCGTGAAACCTGGCTAATTTGTAAGTTTAGCATATTGTGTGAACCCATCTATTGTGGATAGTTTAACTATGGTTAATTAAATCATATATCATGTCTACATAGTGGTATGTCATGGACTTCTAGAGATACCCTGAAGGCACTGAATCACAAAGTGAGAAATTATATTTTAGTCCAGCATATTATGCCAATATCTTCCCAGTTTAACCCAGAGATAATTCAGTAACCCATGCTTATCTAACCAGGGCTAAAAGTGTTTCATAAACTCAGGCTTCCTCAACTCTTGTCTCAGGTGTCAAAAGCGAATAATGCAGGACTTCCCTACGAATAATTCGCTTCATCCTGGATTAGGGAAGGAGCAAGCCAAATGAATTTTTTTTCTCCAACTGGGACTCATCCCCCTCTCACCATGTGCTTCTTTCTATTTGGCTAGAAGATGCCCCTTATGTTAAAGCTAAGTGTGGCAGATAAGCACACACCCTTTGCTTACCCCCATTCCCATCCTGTTCCAAAGTGGACACGCAGGACCCTAGGAAAATAGATTAAACTGAGAAATAATGTCTCCATGGGATATCGCTGCTGAGTAACGATTAGAATTCAGGTCCTAGTTTGTCATTGTAAACCCCACACCGCACTGACTTTGGGCCATACATGTTTCATTGGTTTACTTAATGGTTCATGGATCGGTCCCTCTATCCTTGTGTGATAACAGACTCCAGGATGTGGTTTCGGTGGTAAGAACCAGCTAAACTCTCACGGTCTGTTTGTATTGTAATCGCCTGAAGCAGAGAACCTGCCATTCGGCTAGAATCCCGCAGGAGGAAGCGCTGCACTGCAACCCAACGCTCGCTCCATGAAAAAGTTACGCCTGAGCGTCGAGGATGTCCATCGGAAAGACGAGCCTTTGCTTTCTGAAGAGGCAGGTCTTTGACAGCTGATGCCAGGATAAGCCCCTCCCTCCCTCGCTCCTTCTTCCTTCATAAGCCGCTGTAGGAATTTCTAAAAGAGAAGCAGAGAAACACGTCCTACACCTATTCTGGACATGAAGCCCACTGGGTTCCCCACCCCCTCACCCCCTCATTAGAAAGCGAGGATTACGAGCTGCAAATGACTATTACCGGATGTGAAACTTCAGTGCGAAAAGTTGCAAGTAACCAACTGCTTTACAGCAAGCGAATTTTCAGGAGGCCCCGGGTTTCAAATTAGAGAGGAACACGCATCTCTCCCGAAGCTATAGATTGACAACTCCCAGCAGTCTCCAGTCAAAATGGCCAATGTGAAGGCGGCCTTCCTCGGGAGCTGTCCTTCAGCACCATCCGGAGGGCCCAGGTTCCACACCACCGCATGAAAGCTTTCTTCTGCTCCTCGCTGTAAACCGACCACACACATTTGTTAATCCTGCTCTAATTACTCTAGAATTTCAGCCACGATCCTTCATCCCTTCGGTCTTCGGGTAATGAAGTGGGGAGGACTAGGAGGCGCAATGCAAATAGCCCTCCTCGGGAAAGCTGAGCCTTTCATTTCTTCCCATTTATCTAATTACCTCACTAGCTCCGATTGTTCCAGCCCTAACTAAAATCCGATGCCAGTGTTCCCAAAGACATAATCTTTAACTTTAGACAAGCGGGAGTCTGTGGGATGGAGGTGTATTCACATTCAAGCACCCCTCCTGATTTTCCCAGCAGAGATTTCTCATCACGTTGCCCCCCCGCCCCCCCCCCGCCCCCCACAAGGCCCTTCCTCCTCATTTTCACTTGGCCAGGTAAAGTTTCCGGTCCCACCCCTTTCCTAAGAGCCTGGCTAGAACTTGGATTCAGAGCACACCCACTTCAAGTCTCCGCTTCTCCCAATCGACGGGAGTCCCGCTTTTGGAGCAGTGAAACAGGTGTGCTTGAGGCGCATGCTCAGAGTTTCTACTGCATCTCCGGGATCCCTTAACTTTAGTTAACCGGGCTGTTCAGCAGCAACATGAAGTCCCACCGAGTCGCGAGGCAAGGACTCCGGCTAGCAGGGTTGCAATTTCTGAAATCGATCGGGCTAATTTCTGGCCAATACTGAAAAGACATATGCCAATGGGGGAATGGAAATGTGAATTAATCCGGATTAATAAATACCGAACACTAACGGGTTATGTATATGCGGCGCTGCATCTCACGCCGTTCCGTTTCTGCTTTGGGCAAAAAGGGCACGGAATTCAATCCACCCGGGTACCAGAGGCGATGACGCCTGAGGGGGGCGAGGCTCGTGGGCTGGAGGCTCACTGCAGGGCGGGCGGGCGGACCGGCTGGCGAACGAGCGCGCTGGTGGCCTATTCGGGAGTGGGCGAGGAGGGCCCTCCCGTTCTGGAAAGGGTTAAAGCAGCAGCGGAGAGGGCGGAGCCCGGGCCGGCCCCGAGAATAAGGCGCTGCCGCCTACCTCCCTTCCCTCCCTTTCGCGGTGTGATCGGCTGAGCCGCGGAGGTGCGCCAAGCCAAGCCGAGCCAATGTTCCCCGTCGGCTCTCCCGAGATGGAACCTCCGTCCGGCAGTTCTCGCCGGAGAAACGGAGGCTAACGGGACTCATGGTCGTCCCGGCCGGCCATGAGTTCCCGCGGGTGGCGCTGAGATTGTGAAGACCTGATCCCACACGACGAGCGATCGGTCTGCGCTCCGTCCGGCAGGAGCCTCCCTAGGGATACTCGGAACGATTCCGCCAGGAATTCGACCGACCACGAGTTCCCCCGCCGCGCCCCTCCCTGTCCCCGCCTCCTCCTCCTCCTCTCCTCCTCCTCCTCCTCTTCCTCCTTCCTCTTCATTCTTCTCCGGAGCTTCTGCTGCCCCTCTTTTTGACTCTTCTGCTGCCACTCCGTCCGCTAGATCTGCTTGGCACCATGCTACTCCGTCTAGGATCCACTCTGTACGGTAAGGGAGAGCCCGCTCCGCTCCGGCTACCACGTCCGGTCCAGATGGCGCTTTTTTCTTTTCTTTTTTTTCTGGGCGAGGAGTTGGATCGGCTCGATTAGCTGGCGAGGGAGAGAAAGCGTGGAGCGGGGGGGTGGGGGAAAGCGGCGGGACCTCGCGTGGAAAGGGGCTCCTTAGCGCCGCGAAATTGCTGCCGGGGAGAGCCTGGTGAAGGGATTGACTTGGGGCAGGAACCGGGAGCCGTTCCAGCTCCTTTCAGAGCCCCCTGGGAGGAGGCGGGCGCCACTCGAGGGAAGGTCCTCCCTGCCCCATCAGAGCCTGCCCAGCTGCGCTCGGTTGGAAATCTCCGGGCGCTGTTTTCACGCTGGAGAACTGCGGGCCTCGGGCGGAAGGGCCGTTCTGCAAGCACGGCGGAGCCCGGGATCCGAGGTCTGCCGTCACGGCAGGCGCTCGACCGCAGCGGGAGCCAAAGGAGGGGGGGCAGGGCCGCGGGCTCTCCTTTTTCAGCCTCAGCTGCGTAGACCCAGAGGCGAAGGGAGAACTCGCCCGCCGCCTTGGATCGCCTCGAAAGCCTCTCGGAGCCCCCGAGAGAGAATGAGAAAGTGAAGTGTGCATTCCTAAAGTAATGTTGGAGAATGGGGAATTGGGGGTTGGTGTCACTTCTTAGCATCATTGAGAGAGCCGATGGGGGTCACAGGGCGTATTTATGTAGGAAACCTTCCCTGTAGTGGGTTTCCTGGTTTAGAAAGATGCTCCAGCGTCCCTTAATTCATAAAAAAAAGGCCAAAGAGTATAGAGAAAGGCAGAAGCCAAGGCAAGTGCTCCAAATGCATTGACCAACCACTGCCTGGGCAGTGTGTAGCCCATTAGGTGCCACAAGAAGGACCAGAGTTTAAGATACAATATGTGTGGTGACAGAAGGAGGAAGGATGCGGTTTTGTGCTCAGTTCTGTTTCTTGCCTTTTATCACCTGGTCTTCAATGGGTTACACAACAACAGGCAGCTGCTTATCTGAGGGATGATTATGGACACAAAAAGAGTTTGGCTTCATTCACGTCAGCAGCCATGTCAGACTTGTCACTCCTGCTTCTGCCAGCCTCTCTCGAAACCACCACCTTTATCCCGACCCCCAGTTATTGGTTGTTGTTGTTGTTTTTGCTTCCACACCAGTCAGATGAGGAGCAGAGGTCAGCTGTTGCCCATCTTGACCCATTTGGTGCCAGAGTCCTCTGCCACAGGCTGAATTGAAACCAGTAGACCCCAGAGCTGCTTATGTTGATCTTTTCAGGTTGGACTTTATTGGCTCATTGGGCCTGGTGTGGTTTCTAAAGGGATTTTGCTAAAGTTGAGCATAACTGTTTGGGATGTCCATTCGAGGATCCATTTGGATATTGAGAAATCATTCACAACGTCAGGGAACATGAAAAGCAACATGGATGGATGTGGAAGTCCTGAAGACTGTTAAGTTTTCTTCAGAGACCCAAGAGACAGGAGGGTTTCCTTGAAAATGGAATCATGAGAGAGAGCCAACATCTTTCTTTGCATTTTTGCAAGTGGCCCATTGTCCATCTTGGTGCATCACTGTTTTCCACAGAGAGTAGCAACTGGAGGATTAGATGATGCTTCCTGAAGAGACTTGATCTGGCCCAACAGTCTCCAACTGCTGATGTTGTCACTGTAAAAAGGTTGTAGACGATGAATTATGGCAAAGAATAGAAGTGCGGTGGTGAGAATGAAAATTCTTCATTGTTAAAGAAGGTTCTAGTGTTAAGATGAGAGAACGTCTCATCCCTGGCTCATTATCATATGCAGCCACTGGCACATATTGAATTCTGATCTGGCATCAATTGAGGAAGAAAAAAAAAACTTACAGGATGAAGGAAATGTTGCTGGGAAGAGTGAGTGACAGGGATAAGTTCAAAGCCAGGGTTTAGGAGTGCAAGGAAAGCAATAAAAATATTTAAAGACTCTTTAAGTATAGTCAGGATTTTCATAATGAAACCTGAAGATACCAGAAAGGATTCTATCAGAAAGATGAAGACAAAACCTACTGTGGCAGATTAAAAAAAATGGTCTCATTTCACCACTGATTATTATATAGGGGAGAGAGAAAGAGGAAGAGTAGGTGAATACCGTTTTTCTCCTATTGCTATATATTAATCTGATTAATTAGGGAAACACTATTAGAATGTAGGGCAAACATGGACACAATGATTCTTTTCCTGTCCATTTAGCAGTGCCATTTTCCACAATAAGTGTGTCCAGCCGGATGATGATTACTTTTAAGTAGTTAGAGTCCTTTTGTAGAATTTGAACATTTGCCAATCTTCTCCTTCCTCCTTGGCTTAGCAAATGCATCTGCTAGCGGTTATTTTACTCCTACATCTCAGGATATAAATGGAGCTGGTGGAGGGGTGTACATTTATCACCTACTCATGTCAATGGGCCTCTGTGGTACTAATTTCTTAACTCTTTCTAGTTTGATAAGTGCATAGCCCCAATTCCCACCAATGGAGTGTTGCGTTGTTTCAAAGATGTCTAAATGAGATTACAAAACTACACACCTGATTCCAGTTAGCAACTCAAGCAGTTTTGCTCCAGAGTCTTCTGACTTCCACTCCATTGCCCCGAAGGCCTGGTTTGTTTGCCAGGATGTACCATCGCTGGACTTCCTGAAGAATAAACAATTGTGTGTGGAATCCTGGCATTTTGGACACCTGGAGTTGGGGGAGGGGAGGATTCCTCTCCTGTCTGAAGCTGCTGCTTCCTCTCCGTGACAGAGTGAATTTGTTCCTGAGCCTTTTGCACGGAATGGCAATTCATCATAGCAATGTGGCTAAAAGCTGGAAGATGCTGAAGGGCTTGTTTTAACACGACTTGCAAACTCTAATCATCTTACGAGGTTAATGAATGTTCAGTGAAGTTTTCCTTCGGAGAATCAAGGATTTTAATCTCTGCAAAAGCCGTTTCTGAGCAAATGCCTAATGCCCACATTAAGGCCCATCTTGGCTTGTTATAAGGATTACAGGACCTTCCCCCCCCCCACCTCCCCATGAGAACTGCAGTTGAGAGCAGGGCCATCCCTTATATTGTGTGTTAGGAATGGACTAATGTCATCACTTCCGAATCCAACACAACTGCTTGAACTGGTCTGATGATCTTGATGTTTGTTTTGGGTCGGGAGACTCCAGGAAGACATTTTGGAGGGACCATTGAAACAGCAACGGGGTGGAGGAGGCTGAAAAATGCATATGGACGGGTCCTCTCGGATGTGTATAAAAAGGAACGTCGTAATGAAACGAAATGAAATAACGTGGCTCTGTTTGGGTCACGAGGAAGCAGGAAGGGGGTCATCAGCACCTGCCCCAATATATCTATCAATTCCTCGCGCCCAGATGCCGAAGATAGGCCAGAGAGCTTTTATGGGGAGAAAGGAGAAGCTTCCAATTTCTTCCCCTCCTCTTTTTCTGCCCAAGCTCCAAGCGAAAGCCACAGGCCTGAATTATGGATGAGACTCCTTGGGTTACAGCCATTGCTCGCATCGCATCGCATCGCACCGGAGAAGAGCCCAGAGACCTGTGCAGCTCCCTTCCCCGGGCTTTGTTTCTCTCCCAGGCTCTCTCTTTTCCCTGGAGGGGAAAACCGGCCTGCGTTAGGAGAGGAAATGGCTATCACCCACAGGATGTCTGTGAGGGTTTCTTTCCCACTCGGTTAATACAGGAGACGGAAGGTGGCTTTGCAATGGGGAGGGAGGTGGAGGGAGAGATTCTCCTTCCCTTATTAGTAGTGCTGGGGCAAGAGAGGCATCTTACCTGGGTGGCAATCGGCAGCTGGCAGGAGAACTCCCTTTGGCCTAGTGTTCATACTGCCTGGCTCCTCTGGCAGGTTGCTTCTAACTGGGTCATTATAAAACCCGAGCTTACAGTTTTGCAGCACAATAAAGGAGCAGAAGGATAGATAAAGAATAGATGGAGGCCTTTTCAGGGTCAGGACCAGAGGGCTGCCAGCTTATACCTTACCCAGGTAATAATTCCCCCTTTTTTCAGGCCTCTCCTTGCAGTTGAATTCTGCCAGCAGGAAGAGGGGAGAGTCGCAGTATCCATTTCAAAGGAAATAGCCTAAAATGAAGGTGTTTGTGCAGAAGGGATAAAAAAATAAAAGGGAATGGAATACCTGTCTTGCCGTAGGACCTTCCGTGGCAGTTTGAAGCTTAGGGGGCTGATCAGAATAGGGCTGAGTTCAGATCTCCAGTTAGTGGGGAGGTAGCTTGAAAAGCTCCTGCTTTTGTGTGGGGCTTGTCAGAAAGAGATGGGGAGGCTGGAGGGAAGAGTGGGAAGAGAAGAGGACTTGAGTGGAGGTGGTGTGAACTACAGAAACAGCATTGGCAGCTTGTGTTACTCGTTCATCACGTCACACCGCCCACACACATGCATACAGAGGTAGGGAACCGTGCACACGTGCACGGGGAGCGCTCATTCGAGACCATCTGTGAAGAGACACGCATGGCCAAACCTTTGCTTGGCTCGCCGAGCGAAGTGCATACACAGGCATGCTTACGTCTCACGTGGGACTGTGCCCTGCATGGTTGCCAACTTTCTGCCTTTGTAAATCTCAGGACTGAGGATGTTTCTCTCTGTAGCCAAGCTCTTAAAAAATGGTGTGTGGGAGGAGGGGGGAGCTACGGCTCCCTTGCAATTCAATTAAAACAGCAGTCAATACTCAGAGACCAAAGGTAAGAGTTGAAATACGTAACTGGCAAAAGGGTGTGTGCTTTTTAATATCTACAGAAAGGAAGTTGTCTAGAGTAGAACGTTGCCAATCCATTCTGATCGTTTAAAATTTCATTGAAAACTTCATAACTGAGCCTACTGCTTTGTACTTAATGAAGCTACTATAATGAGATAATGCAATGTACCAGCGTAAGGTGTTTAGCTTTCTTAGAACAGCTCATATGATCAATGGACAAAGCAGGGGTGGGATTCAAATTTTTTAACAACCAGTTTGTGGGCATGGCTTAGGTGGTAGGCGTGGCTTGGTGATCATGTGACTGGGTGGACGTGGCTTGGTGGTCATGTTATTGGCTGGGTGTGGCCAACTCAATATCACTCACATCAAGGCACGCATCTCCTCGCCTGGCCTCTCATGATTGTGGGGGTGCTGCAACAGTTGTAAGTGTGAAATATGGTCATGGCACTTTTTTCAGTGCCATTGTAACTTTGAATGGTCACTCCACACAAGCAAAGTACCAGCAAAGGAAGGGGAAAAAACTGCAGAGACATTCCTGAGACAGGAAGTCTAGTCCTGCCAAGAATATAAGCAACACCAGAATGTTTCCTTCCCGCCTTCCTTACAGGATTAGACCAGTAATTTCTTCTAACAACTGGTTCTCCAAACTGCTTAGAATGTTAACAACCAGTTCTAGCGAATAGGTGCAAACTGGTAGAATCCCACCCCTGGGACAAAGGGAAGAGAGCACTAGCAAACTATTCCACCTTCACAAATTCCTGGGAATCAAAGGGCCTTAACCCATGTCCTTCTCTTGCAGGCTTGGCTCCTACCTTCCTCCTGCTGTTGACCTTGCCCTTTGGATCTTCAATGTGTCCTATGCTTTGCACCTGCTACTTTTCCCCACCCACAGTGAGCTGCCAGGCCAATAACTTCTCCTCTGTGCCACGGATACTACCGCCCAATGCCCAGCGCCTCTTTCTACAAAACAACCTGATTGGGACCCTGAGACCTGGAATGTTTGGGCCCAGCCTCATCACCCTCTGGCTCTACTCCAACAACATCTCCTCCATCCAGCCTGGCACTTTCCGCCATCTCCAGGTTCTGGAGGAGCTGGATCTGGGGGACAACCGCAATCTGCGCACACTTGAACCAGATACTTTCCGTGGTCTTGAACGGCTGCAGTCCTTGCACCTTTATCGCTGTCAGCTGAGCAGCCTCCCAAACACAATCTTCCGCAATCTTTACAGCCTCCAATACCTCTATCTTCAGGAAAACAACCTGCTTTGCCTACAGGTGAGCAATCTGCTGAATCTGGCCTAGCATGAGCAAAGTTGGGAAATCTTTTCTCAGGCAGAAGGCCAAACTCCGAAATATATGCATGACTGATTAAAAGACATGGGCAGGATCAGGGCAGAAAGTCATGAAGTGAGCACGAGGAAAGGAACACTGTACAGCCTGTGAGCCATAGATGATCCTCTTCCACTCTAGAAGACGGTGTGTGGGGGGGAGAGAGAGAGAGAGGGAGAGAGAGAGAGAGAGAGAGAGAGACAGACAGACAGACTCGATCCTCCTTTCCTTATGGTTGTCCTTCCCCACCCGGAAGATGTTGGGTTCTTACAAAAAAACGAGCTTGGCTTTGCCCCAAAAAGTTTCTGAAACTATATATAGCTGGGAAGTAGGGGGGGGGGGAAACAGAATCAGAAGAAAATCTGAGTTTTGAGTAAAATAGGTAGGAGAGAGCTACCTTGGCAAGACAGGGGTCTGACATGAGGGATTTACTTCTTAAGAATAATATGAAAATAGATGGTTTAATGTTTGAAATATCTCCCAAGAGAGCAATACCCCCTCCCAATTTTTTTTCCTGAAAACTGGCAAAGAATTGGTGTGTCTCTCAACCTTCATCCTCATGCAGGATCATCCTGAAAGGAACAATGCCCTGCCAGCAACTCACTCTAAAACCACACACCTATCCGGCTGCAGGGCTGTGGCTTAAGAGTGGAGAAACTGCAGTCTGGGCCTGCAGCAGTAAAAATGCATTTAAAGATTATGCCTCATTGCCTCCAGCCACATCCTTAGTTGGAGGAGACGATGTTGGTTACATGCGGAGGGAGAACATTTCTCTCTTGTGCTGCGGGACATTAAAGAACAAGGATCAATGTAATAAAAACACGTTAGGCTCCCATGCAACAGCAGACCGAAGCAGGGAGAAGCAGAGGAAGGTTGGCTAGAACAGGGCTCTCCAACCTTGGCAATTTTAAGACTTGTGGACTTCTGTGGAATTGTGGGAGTTGAAATCCACAAGTCTTAAAGTTGTCAAAGGTTGGAGAGCCCTGGGCTAGAAAGTCTGAGATGTAGGGCAATGAACTGAGTTTGCGGCGTTTCACGGGTAGGAGAGGCCAGTCGGGCAAGCCATTTCACAAAAGCCGAATTTCACCGCTTTCATTCTTCCTCTCTTTCCCAGGATGACCTTTTTGTGGACTTAGCTAACCTGAGCCATCTTTTTCTGCATGGGAATAAAATCTGGAAGCTCTCCGAGAACGTCTTCCGTGGCCTGTCTGGATTAGACCGCCTGCTGCTGCACCGGAATCACCTGCACACAATTCCTGAGTGGGCCTTTCGCGATTTGGGAAAGCTTACCATTCTCTATTTGTTCAACAACAGCCTGATCACTCTGTCTGGAGAAACACTCTCAGATTTGCCCTCCCTGGAGTTTCTGCGCCTCAACAACAACCCCTGGGCCTGCGACTGCCGTGCCTACTCCCTCTGGTCCTGGTTCCAGCGCACGCAGGTCTCCATCTCAGACGTCACATGCGCCTCTCCTGCAGAACGCAAGGGACACGACATGCGCTATCTGAACGAAGCAGTCTTTCAAGGCTGCCCTCCGACCAGCCATCACCCTATTGAGTTTGACTGGAGCTGTAGGCCTGAATGGGAAAATGGAGCGGCTCACCCCCACCCTCGCCACCACCCTCACCCTCACCCCCACCCTCACCCTCACCCTCACCCCAATGGCTCATCTAATCATCTCTATGGCCTTGGAGGATCCCCTCCTGCTGATCCTTCCTCCTTCAACAGGGATGTCCCGGCCAATGACATCCAGAGCCCCAAATATGACCCACCTACAGAAGATAACTACTGGGGGACTAATGGCAACGGAGAAGGAAGCCAGCTGAAAAAGGGATGCCTAGGGACTTCTTGCTCTTCTCTGGAATCTGGAGCAATCAGGATTGGCTTCCGGTTATTTCTCCTTTCCTGTCTATTCATTCTGTTGGAACTTTCATAGTTTTAACAATGGAGGGTGATTGCTAATAAGAGTCTGGGAACTTGGAGACTGTGGGGAGGCTGGATCCCTACCCAGCACTTAGCTGAGGCCAAAGTGATTCACCTTCACCCTAACCCAGGGGTAAAGGAAGACTGACTAGGTCTGTTACTGCTGCTGCTGCTGCTTTCTGGCCAATTGTGAGACTTAAAGCCACTTTCTATGTGGCACCGGTTATATTCCATGAACTTATGGCAAGGGCAATCTATTTTTTTTTTACTTCTAGAGTGTTGCAAAACTCTCCTGTTAGAAATGTTCCTTAAATCCTACTGCTTCTTGAGTGTGTAAGGAGCCTGCTGTAGTCTCCATATCCTCTACAGGGCCAGGATCTCTTCTGTGCATGAGAAGGAACTATGGATGAGGACCTCTTTTTTTCAGAGCCTCCATTCTTCTAACAATATCCTTTCACGCATATAAGTGCCTGCTCTGTCTCATAGGATAGGACCCCTCAACTAAAGGATACAATGTCCTCTTCCAGAACTAAAGAGAAAAAAAATATCAAAATTTGGGGCTCTGATCACTCTTGACTTCTTATTATCTGGTGGTTTTTAAAAAATTATTCGAGGGGACCCCAGAGGAGCAATTCACATACTTAATTCTAATGTTGATTATCTTGATAAGGGTGTGATGATGGAAGTTTGCTCCACTGGCTATTGAAACCAGAAATTGTTGGATGACTCTTGAGTAGATAGGGAACCATTCAGCTTCTCAATAATCCATAGCAAATATTCTTAATCATGGGTTTTCTGCACTGACAAACGGTTAGTTCAATTCTGCCTTCCCCAATTCAGTGACATCCGACAACTTGAACTAAAAATCCCAACACCTCCAGCCATCATTATCATTGGTTATATCTACTTGGTTTGACTGGAAGTCTGATCTAACACAAGAGGGCACCAGGCTGTGGAAGGCTGGATTTCATGATTTTTGCAGTCCCTTCACTTCTGTAATTAAATCTTTAGAGAAAGGTTGCAATCATACGACAAATTCATGTGAATTGATCTTTATTCATAAAAAAAAATGGTCTTAATTTTGATGGGTGTAACTTTCCTCTGGTGCCTCCATGTCTCCCCTTTTACCACAATGGACAGTTAGAGAAATATTAAACTATTTTGATATGGCTGGAACAATTTAGTCACTCAACCAAATGAACAATGTAATACACAATGATTCAGTGTATTGTGAACTAAGCTGCTTAAACATTCCATTTCATAACCCAGAAAGTAGCTTGAAAGGGAAGCTTCTTTCCTATCCCCACTGCCCGCTTCTTGTATTGGGACCAGTTGAAATACCTTCCTGTCCAGTCCAACGCCCTTGGTCTGCTGAAAAAGATCACACCGAAGTTATCTGGGCTTTTTCACTTGTTCAAAACACACATCAGTGCAACTGCTCTTCCTAAGATCAAGACTGTAACCGAGCTTTGCCAAAGGACACACACTCTAGAAGGAACCTGCATGAGCCTGACTCCCTGATGTACACTTCTATAATGCAAATGGTTCCTGCAGTTATGTGTTTACTTTGTCAAATGGAATGCCTAAAAATAATGTAGTCAACTGAAGAGTTTCGGGAGATTTCTGACCAGACTAAATCCGAGGGTACTAGAAATTGGCCAGCAAATAGGTTAACATAGCTGTTGTTACAGAATTAGATTGAAATTATCCCCCCCCCCCCCCCCCGATCAGATCAAACTACTGACTTGAATAGCCGGATTATGCTGCCTTTAAACACAAATATTTTAGTGGTTTACACAGTACAGAATGCAACCATTAAAATGCCTTAATTTTAAATATTTGGTCACCCTTAATCTGCCCTTTGGGGAGGAAGTTGTTGGGAGTGCTGGGAACACAGACACTGCTTTGCCAGGCCCACAGCAGCCACGGGGAAAATAGCATTCTCTTGGAAGTGTGTTGCAAAATGTTAGATCTAGTTGGAAAAGAAGAGTCTAGTGAGATCAAGTCAGAAAAAGCAGTGTGGAAGACCTCCACTCAGAGTCTCAAACATAACACTTTCAAAACCAGCCCACTCATGATGGTGTCGGGTGGAAATATTCCATCTGAGTAAGATGGAAAGCCATTTGCAAGGGCTCCTGTGAATGAACCCTAGTGCCACATAGAACTCTGATTCTTTTCCTAACAGGAGCGTTAGGAAAGAATCAGTTATAGGTGGCGCTAATGTTCATTTTTCAGGTCCATTCAGTTATTCTTTCTATCATAGAAGAGCACATTCTCCAGGACTGATGCAGAGCCTTGCTAGTGTAGGACTGATCCTAAAATGATGTTCAGAATACAGTGGTACCTTGGTACTCAACTGCTTTGAATTTGGTAGTCAAAGCATTTTGACGCAAAAATTTTGTCCCGGTATTCATCGTTTGTTTGGTAATTAACGCACAATCTAGAACCTGTCAGTGTCGGCTGCCTTCTGACTCACTACATTAGTCCTTATGGGAGAAATTTGCTTGGTACTCATCATTTTTGGTTCCCATAGCACCTCCCAGAACCAATGAACAATGAGGACCAAAGTACCACTGTAATTTTTTTCCCCCTAACCTCTTGTTTTCTGGTTATGCGGAATTCGTTCTGGGTCCCACATATTTAAAAAATATACAGTTATATTGTTCTCATTTTAAAGAAGGAAGTCTGTCACCAATAATTCAAATGAAACAGAAATTGTCCTTCAAGTGACTTGTTACTTTGAAAATGTTCTGTGTTGGCACTTCTCATACAGTTTTTCTTTTGTTTTAAGATTTGCTTGATTTCTTTTGTTTATTTGCCAAAACCTTTACTTTTTTTGGCAACACAATATATTAAAAATATTTTTTTTTCTACTTCTTTCCTTCCCTGCGTTTGCCAAGAGGAAGACGGTCTAAATCCAATACTCCTATCTGCTCTATTAGATTTGTTTTCAAAATACGCCTCAGCTTAGTCTGTTTTGCAGCAACATGGGAGATCCAGTGCTTTCTAAAATAAATCGAGCCCTGACCTACGTTTCTAGAGGGATCTGTGGGTTTGATGGCTGGCACCGGGGTTTCTGGTTGCTTTAATAATCTTCTGGAAACTGCAAATTGTGGCAGAGCAGTAGGGCTAGAGAGGGTCTTTCTCAGTATGTAGCAAGGGGCAGAGCTGTTGGCACTGGGGCTGAAATGGCAGGAAGAGCGTGTATCCTCCTAGTCTAAGGGCAGCTTTCTTAATTTAATTTCACATAAGGGAGAGAGAGGAGAGCTGGAAGAGAGAGCTATTTTTAGCCTTTGTCTGCTAGTAGTCAGAGTTAAATGTGAGCATACAGGTGTAGGGTGTCTCTGTGCACGCTCGTGGACATATCTACATGTATGCTTCGCGCTGGGGGCAAGAGTTAAGCAGAGAGCAGGCTATTGCCAGGATTTCAGAAATGGGGAGAGGGAGGAGAACTGGGGTTGGCGGGGTGGGGTGGGGGGTGTAGGCAGGATGATCTGCAGAATTACTCCACAATGTTGGGGAAGGGAGTGAGTGGGTCCACTGAAATTAGGGTTAATTGGCAGGGGGTTGCACACTGAGGCCAAGGCTGCAGTAAGGGCCATGCTGAGCCGTGAATCGGGAGGAAAGTGCCATTAAATCTGCCAGCAAGACTCCAGCAGGCTGAGTCTTTCCAGGTCAGGTAATTATCCTTGTGAAATATTCATGACCCCTTATCCCAGATGCTATTTCAGAGCAGCAGGGGGAGAGAGATTGGGATGTGAGAATGAAAGCTCCAGAAGATATACAGGCACACACCTATCTCACAGCATGAATCTTTACAAATTACACACATCCCAGGGCTTCCAGCCCACCCTTTCTCTTCAAGGCACACAAACACCCGCAACTTGTGCACACATGGTTTCCTATTCCCAGAGACGTTTAAGGTTGTGGATTTGAACCCTGGGTATATCCTAATTAATCTTCGCCCTTTCTCCTTCTTCTATAGCATCTGCTTGTGTGATCAGCTGCTACATATACTGGAATAGTCAAGCTCAGCATTTCCAAAACAACAACAACAACAAAAGTGTTTTCCTAGGAATCTGTCCATTTTTCCCAGCCTGGCACAGCTGGGCTGAGAGTAGCATGGGCTGAGACTGTCGGGCGCGCAATGTTTGTTTGGGGCAATGCCAATCTAAGTCAACAATGGTCTATGCAAAAGTTTTGGGGAATTTGCTCTCTCCCGTAACCGTAGCCATCAATTTTCTTTTCCTACATTTGTTTTGGCTGTAAGCTTTTAATTCTTTGTTAAGCGAGTAGCAAATCAGCAGTAAGGCAAATCACACATGGATTAGAACTGCTGAGATAGTAATTCAGAATAACTGAATAACAGAATTGGAAGGCACCTTGGATGTCTTCTGGTCAAGCAGGAAATCTATACCATTTCAGGCAAATGACTGTCCAATCTATTTTTAAAAGCCTTCAGTCATGGAACACCCACAACTTTGAAAGCAAGCCATCCCACTGGTTTATTGTTCTTGCTGTCAGGAAATGTCTCCTTAGACATTCATTGTGGCCCAGGTAGTCTTAGAACAGCACAAGGCTCAAGGGAGCTCAGGACTTCTCTATCCCATTCTTTCCCCACATGGAATATCTATGCGAGTTCATTCCAGACCCTGACTGTTTACTTTCCATCTTCCTATGCATCTCATCCTCATACCGTTGTTCCAGGGATGTAGAGGTAAGAGAGATATTGATAAACTTCAATAGTTCCTCTGTGTGTGAATTTCTGATCTCTCTCTTTCTGGGTAGTTTCCCACTCCTACACTTCTTGAAGGTCATGTTTCCTCATTCATTTCATATCGATATGCATGTGTGAGATGCATAGGAAAATATAGCTTATACCCTCTGTATATTGTATATATGCTTGGGCCAGGAGAAGTTGAATCTTTGGTGTACAAAGGAGGGTGCATTTTTCTAAGTGCTCCATTTGCACCATCCCACATCAGCTTTACAACCTCCTTGCAACTAACCCTGGATTGTATTTAGTTTCTGGTGAAGGTGTGATGTCTCCCTTTGATAGATGGGATATGATGAGATATGAGATATGAAGGGATTGATTGCCCGGTGCTGTGTCTGTACAGTCAACCTACATTTTCTCCTGAAATAATCTGTATTCCCTCCCAACCAGGACTTCTATAAGCCCACATCTTGTAGATCTGCTTATTCATGAATTTGTATAGACTTCTGAACATCAGAGCCATCCATACAGCATTTCTTTCTTCTCAACTGAACTACACCGAAGCCTCCAGTCCATGAATTCAAGGCACCCTTAATTCTAATGCATAAAGACAGAATGCATCTGATATGGACGTCAGCTTCTTTAAAAAAAACCTCAGATTTCTTTTAATGGGAACCTTTGGTAGTGAGTGCAACCTTTAAAACCATATTGGAGAAAGCCAGAGGCACAGAGTCAAAATGTTCTGATCCAGCAAGGTGGAGCAGTTCAAATGGTGCCAAAGAAGCAATCAGTCAGATTTACTAACATCAAATAACTTACGCAAAAAACAAGCTGTATTATCTTGGTATTCGGTGTAATCTTGGGGATATGCAGTGTACACATGATCTTACTGACTGCCTAGTGCTTGTGCTCCTTCTATAAAAGAGACCAGCTTCAAAGGAAAACAGTGAATAGAGGACAGTGATCAGTTCTTACCATTGTGTTTGTGTTTGGATGCTAGAAGAAAGAGGGAAGGAAAAAGGCACAGGGTATAAGGTGGTATTTGCTCTGTGGCCCACTGAAAAAGCATTAACCATTCATGAATTAACTTACCTCTCCTTCTCTGAAGACTGGGGCAATGTCCCTAAGCAATACGTTGATAAACAAAAAAGTTGAAAGTACTGATAATTCCTAATGTTTCTAAATAAATATGCATGAATACCCTGAAATGCAGATCCCAACTCCAAAGCCAACTTTTTGGCTCCAGAGTAACAGGAGGCTACGGGCAGGTGTCCTTTACCCACAAGGACAACTGGAATCAGCCAGGAGTTGTATGCCAGCTTATGCATTCATAACCTTAACTCGGCCCTTTGGAGGGATGTGGTAATGAATTTGCAAGGTCACCATCGCTGGAGTGAGTTATTTCTGAGCATTTTGTGGAGGAGGGTATTAAAGGCTCACTAAATTTCCTGGATCAATCAAGAGCTGCATACCAAAGATCTTTGGGTTTCAGATGGCAAAGGGCCATTGTGGAAAGCTTTCTTAAGCAACGCCTGGCATGGCAAGAAATTAAACAGAGCCTGGTGTTCTAGCCATAAAGCTATATTTTCCTTTTCCTTGCCCTACCAGGATCAATGTAAGTAGCTTGCATTGGCCCTGCCAAGGACTTGCATTAAGGTAGGCAAGGGCGGCATTAAAAGCCACAAGCATCATTACTCAGGAATGATTCAGGATCACCCAGAAGAGGGCCGGTTGTCCTGTACTTTCAGGCTACAGTTCTGTGCCCTTGTGAAAGCTCACCTGAATTTGGCAGAACGCACTTCAGAATAAGGAGGCAGATGATCAACTTACAAGGAAACCTCCCAAATTGCAAAAATGCTACAGTGCCAATAGTGCCATTTCATTTGCAAACATGTATTGATCAAGCAATTTTATCACCATAACTGGATTTGAACCGATAAGCTAGAAGCAAAAAAAAAAAAAGGTTGAATCAAAGTAGGGTGCTTTCAATTTAGAAAATTAAACGGGGTTTAGGCATAAGACTTGCTAATGCCAGGAATTAACTGGAAACTGAGTTCACTCTAGCAATGCACGAAAAACACTATTAATGTGTATCTGTGTAGACATCTGAATCTAAGTTTAGTGCTGTGGAAAATGCACATTCTGTAGATAAGGAGAATGTTTTAGAGCAGGTATGTTTAACCTGTGGCCCAAGGGCTGCATGCAGTCCTGGACAACTAGGAATGCAGCCCTGTAAGAGCCCCCACAAAATAAAGGTTTGATATATACACTGCTCAAAAAAATAAAGGGAACACAAAAATAAGACATCCTAGATCTGAATGGATGAAATATTCTTATTAAATATTTTGTTCATTACATAGCTGAATGTGCTGACAACAAAATCACACAAAAATTATCAATGGAAATCAAATTTTGCAACCCATGGCAGTCTGGATTTGGAGTTACACTCAAAATTAAAGTGGAAAAAAACACTACAGGCTGATCCAACTTTGATGTAATGTACTTAAAACAAGTCAAAATGAGGCTCAGTTGTGTGTGTGGCCTCGACGTGCCTGTATGACCTCCCTACAACGCCTGGCCATGCTCCTGATGAGGTGGCGGATGGTCTCCTGAGGGATCTCCTCCCACACCTGGACTAAAGCATCCCCCAACTCCTGGACAGTCTGTGGTGCAATGTGGTGTTGGTGGATGGAGCGAGACATGATGTCCCAGATGTGCTCAATTGGATTCAGGTCTGGGGAATGGGCGGGCCAGTCCATAGCATCAATGCCTTTGTCTTGCAGGAACTGCTGACACACTCCATCCACATGAGGGCTAGCATTGTCGTGCATTAGGAGGAACCCAGGGCCAACTGCACCAGCATATGGTCTCACAAGGGGTCTGAGGATCTCATCTCGGTACCTAATGGCAGTCAGGCTACCTCTGGTGAGCACATGGAGGGCTGTGCGGCCCCCTAAAGAAATGCCACCCCACACCATTACTGACCCACTGCCAAACCGGTCATGCTGGAGGATGTTGCAGGCAGCAGAAGGTTCTCCACGGCGTCTCCAGACCCTGTCATGTCTGTCACATGTGCTCAGTGTGAACCTGCTTTCATCTGTGAAGAGCACAGGGTGCCAGTGGCAAATTT